AACTTTCTTAACTCTCTAGTTTGATAATTTAGTGGGGTGTCTCAGTGGTTGTTTTCTCAAAATTTGAGTATTTAAAATTCTTACATTTCATGCAATGGTTTTACTTTACATATATTCCTAGTGAGTAAGAATAATTAAAATTCAGTTATTAAAAATGAAATCATTATAAAAAGCTTCAGTATTTTGAAATTATTATTTAAAGTTAATTATTTGTATATCCATTAACTTTGCTTTTTGAAAAGCATTGTGATTTTCATGCATTTGAAAGTGGGGATTTTCTTCTCTGAGTTGCCTTTTCCCCAGCTCTCTTTAGGCTTCATGAATTTTTTAAAACATGTAAAATTAGTTTTCTGACTTTGTCCACAGAAAAATTTGCTTGATTTGAAATCCATTCTGAGCTAATTTTTGTGGTTAAACATTATTTGAACAGTGGGTTGCATAATCTTTATATATCACACAGAGAGTGCTAACTTTACTTCTATCTTGTGTTTCTATAATACTGGCTTTTACAAACTGGAATTTGGTGTTGAAACCAGCACAAATAAATTTCAGCGAGAACCTACCTTATGGAAAGGTATAAAATGCAGATGCTTATTTTTAAGCATATGGACACTATTATAATGTTTTGTGTACGTTGGCTCTTCAGTTTATATTAAATGGTTTTTGTCTTGAACGATGTATAGAGCTGTTATGAGAGAGAGAGAGAAACCTTCCCTGCCAGCCAGCAGAATTCATCTGGGTAACTATTAAGAAACCCACTTATGATTTTAAAATTTAAGATTAAATATGAATAAGCTAAGACTGTCATTCTTTAGTCTGTGCTCATGTTTTTATCTAACTTTATATATTCCCCTTGAAAAATATCCTGCTTCTGTTATTCTGGACACATTTTTTTGTTATTATATGTAGCACTTACTTGGAATAGAAATGAAGGTAGATTGGAATTCAAAAAATAAATTTAGTAAGTGATTTCATAATGTGTGTCTTATTTTAGATTTTGAGAAGAGAATGAAGATGAGAAAAGGAAAATGTAGTTTTAATTTTCAGGCAAATTCTGTTTGGGATTATGATTACATAAGGTCCAACTTTACATGCTTTACATTTAGTGGATAATACTGAAAATAATTTTCTATTGTGCGATTATAGTAATTAATATAAAGCACAGTCTTCATTGAGTCTTTTAGTGATTTTTATAGATTAGGAAGGGAGACATTATTCAGAAAAATTACAACGCTAAACATAAGGATTTGATCTCTCGAGATTTCCTTTTCTCTAAGTCTAGGCTTACAGCTTCTAAATGATTCATTTCAGGACTCACTGCTTTATGACTCTTCTACTGGGTTGGAATCTTGATAGGATAGATTTCCTGATAGTTTCCCATAGCTAGAAAAGAATTTAAAACAAAGTTGCCCAAACTAAGATTTGTAGCCTTTTGGGGAAATTATTCTGAAGCAATCAGAGACTCAAAGGAAGGACAAGATTACGATCCCAAGCAAACTAAACTCATCAACACTTCTCTTATTTGTTTTTTAATGTGAGGTTTTCTTTTTTACATTTTTTGGAGATATAGTAGACTCATGCAGTGAAAGAATTAGTCTTCACCTAGCATTCCCATCTGCAGTACACTAACACCAGTATGAACTTGACATTGGTCACTTAATACTTCATCTCAGTGCTTCTCATTCTCTTCTGAAAGTGGTTGGCTGTCTCCTATGTACTATTCATCCTTATGTGCAAGTATTAGCATAATACATCCCCGGCTCTGACCTCATGCCCACCCTTTAACTTATCCCAGACTAAGCAAAGATTCTCTTTTCAACACGTGGAGAGTCTTTTGGGAATGTTGAAAAGTTAAAAGATCAGAGAGATCAAACACTTTCATAACCCTTCAGCAGAGTAGGAATATAGTTATAACTGAGAGATGATAAATGATCCATTCCACTCAGAGTTCCCGCTGAAAAATCACCTTTACTGCCGTAGGAAGTTGATGTTCTAGATACAGCCAGAAAGAAAATGATGGCAAATGCCAAAAGATGATCAATTGGCAGTGCTGATAGTTGAAGGGATTGTCATGAGATACCTGTTCTGACCTGTCTATTCCCACTCTGGTACAAGGCAGCTGGAGTTATACCCCTCATTGTCAGCAGAGCAGAGCCAACTGCGTGGAGTAATTGTCTTTTAGAGGTTGCAAATGATAGAAACACATTCTCACCCCTGTTCTTCTAAGTTCATATATGTCCCAGTTCATTTATGTCTACTTCTCAATAAATTAATATTTGGCATTAGGCTATTATACACTAGGGTACTCACTTCTGGCCACATTATCTCAAATATCCTTTTGTCATTGGGTACCATGGAATGGATTGTTATTCGCTGCAATGCCCACACACACCAACGTCAAGAAACTATGTGGGGTCATGCAAAGTTTGACACTCCAACACAACAGAACACTCTGCAATTAGAGATGATGTCACTGTTCCTTGCTTTTCATTTCACTGGGTCAAAACTAGTCTTTGGAGACTCCAGCAGGAAATGTGGACTCATCATGTAGACTATTCTCTATCTCATCGGCATATAAATGGATTCTGAGTTCTGCATGCTTCTCTTGTTGATTGAGGTTCCAAATATTAACCATAACAAAGTATTTCATAGCCTTTAGAATGAGGCAGAAGAAAAATAAAAGGAATGAAATAACATAAAAACAAATGTGCCTTATTGTTTCACTCTTGGGATAGGAAAAAACCAGTATATTGTAATGTCATTTGAGGGCTGGATGGGAAGTTTTGCCTCTAGCAGAAGCAAGAAATAGGTCACATACAAGGGCAAATATTTACTATGGATTATCTCCTGGATCATTATCCTTTCATCCCATTACTTACCTTGCACCTACCTGCAGTTCCACCACTTTCCTTTAGTACACAGGAGATAGAGATAGCTTAGAGGCAAGTTCCCTGCCCCTTGCTTAGCTGTGATGTCTACTCTGGGGCTTGTGGCAGAGGAGTATTAGGGACATACACTTGGTGCTCAGATACAGACCATGAGGCAGGGTCAGTTCTGTTGTTCATGCTCCTTGGCATAGGGTTGTGCTGTGGGATGAAGGCTGTCTGGCTTCCTTGGTAGCAGGAACCACTTAAAAGTCCATTGGGCCCAGAAGATTCCACTGCCTGACAGGCTTGTTGGGATTAGCACAGCCTGAGGAGAGATTAACGGTGAATGTTATCATGTCTTAGAAACAAGAAAGAGCACATTACATGTGCATGTACAGATGCGGGAGAGAGACACAGAGGAGGAGGGAAAAGCCAACCGCAGGCACTTATTACAGTTGGGAGAGAAAGACGATACTGTCCAGGTGTGGAGACAGCTGCTGGCTGCGCCTGGCAGGGCCCCATGTCTACAACTTGACTTTTAGATCTGCAAGTCAGAGATGCTTTGTCATCACTGCAAGGTGATTGAACCCTCCAAAACCAACTTAGCCTTTATATATTTGAATGCTAGTCCTTTCATTTGGTGGGGGTGGGGTGAGGAATACATTGAATTTCCAAGTGGGTGGGATATTTGTGTCAACCAATTGTCAGGTTTTCATCCTGTAGGAGACCTCTATGTAGAAAGTCATCTAAAAGTCCTCTGTGGCTTGGGGAACATGGGATTTCTAAGTAGCAGTACTGAGTGGGATGACTTTACTGATGAACATTGCACTTGATGTTCCTGGAGCTGGATGTTGCTTTCTGAAAGTCATTCAGAGAGAACCAGAACCACCATAGATAACTGTTATGGGCATTTCTCCTACAGGTTGTGTGACATGCTCCTGTGTTGAGTGCCTACTATCAGACCTCCCACTATGTTGACATCACGAAGGTGGCATCTTTGCCTGGATTAGAAAGAGCCATTGGGTGTGTGCAGGGAAATTAACTGACTTCATCTTGTAGATCTTTGTTTTTGAGTGATTGATTGGGGTCATTCTGTGTGCTATTCCTACTTTGGAAGCTCTGAGTTATGTGTGGCTTTTATCTTTTAGAAGCAGGGAACTTTCCCCTGGCATGATAGTAAAACGCAGAATAAGCAAGACAGTCACGTATACTAAGGCAGCAGGCTCCTGGTAAGCCTCGCTAGGGCAGGACACAAACCCAGAGGGAAACTGACTGACTTCTGCCAAAAATGGAATGTACTCAGCGGTAGAGTTCTAATTCTAATCATGGTAACTTGACCATTGGAATCAGAAAGGCTACTACACTTTGGGTGAATCAGGGATTATCAAATTGAACTTGGGGAGGGGGGCTGAGCATGTTGACAGGTAAGACGTATTTTTATGTAAAACAATGTTTGACATGTATTAACAAATTAGTGTTGGTTGACTCTTATTGTCTGGAAGATTATTGTTATACCCCCAAAATGGTCCTTATTGAGAGGTAACATAGTCGCCTGAGTCACATTTACAAATGTCACGTGTTTTCAAATACAGTCAGTAGAAAATCCGACTCCCTCCCGAGCCGGATCACATTCAGGATTTATTTATTTTATTCTTTGACTCTAGGCCATTGTTTATTAAGGAAAACGCTCAGCTGTTTGTGAGAGGTTCCCTGTTTTCACCCTAACCAGACACAACCCATTTCCCTTCAAAGCTGACTTGAAGATATTTTGAAGGGGTTTATTTTTTGATAGTGAAGAAATGTTTTGACGTCCAGATGCCTTCGGGCATGTCAGATGAATCTAGAATCAGCTAGAAGGTCTGTTCCCATCGAGCTGGGATCTTTGTGAGTCCAGGCAGCTGCACTCATGAATCTGGAGGCACAAGCACCTCTGTGTTTTGGGGGGGTCGGTTGAAGTAACCCCCCCATTCCCTCTCCCAGGGAATTACACTCCACCAGAGCTTTTGCAGAGTCTCCTGTTCTGCCCAAGTCACGGGGGGAAGGCTGATGCCTAAGAAAAGTAGTCGTGTGTTACATGAGCGCCAGCCAGTACCTTTTCACGCTAAATGTGGTTCCCACGTCTCCTCTGATTAGAGGTGTGCTCTGAACAAGCCGAGACCGGGCCCTGCCGAGCCATGATCTCCCGCTGGTACTTTGATGCGTCCGAGGGGAAGTGCGCCCCATTCTTTTACGGCGGATGTGGTGGCAACCGAAACAACTTTGACACAGAGGAGTACTGCATGGCGGTGTGTGGCAGCGTCAGTAAGTGGACCTTCCTCCAGCCTGGCCGCCTCTCGTCTTTCTACCCACTGACTCTGCTCTTTGTAACAGATGGGGGTTCCTGGTTCTGGGGATCGGGTCTGTTGCTGCCACTAACCACATTCCTGTCCACCTCGCTAACTGCCCGGTGTGTCCACCCGTCTGTTCGATCATGTGCACACGTGTCCATCTTTCTCTGGTAAAGCATGGCCCTGGATGTGTCTTCTGCTAGCCCTGGGGCACCGGTCTTGCAACCTCTAGGGACTTCTGAGTGCTTCTCTTTAAGCCAAGCTGCAGTTGCTTTTTTTGTCTTCTTGGCTGTTTCTGCAAATGTATACCTGTGTGTTTGTCCTTGCACATATGTGTTTAGGCACATGGGCAAATCGGAGCTACCACTGGAAATGGGGCTCATGAAACCTTGGTAGCGCAATAAGGAGTATTGCTGGGATGAGTATCTTTAAGTTATGTCCTAACAGGCATCTTCCATTATGGTGTGATTAAAGGGACCCCATGCACTTTCACTGAGGGAGGTGAAAATGCCCAGCACCCTGAGCTCACATAAGGACCTTTGCCATGTCGAGTTTTACCATCTTCTGTTGGAAATATAAGAAGAAAATTGTTGACTTACTATTAGAAGCCTTCAATGACATAAAGCTCAGCGACTACATAGTTCCTTGGGAATGTATTCCTCTAAAGCTTTTCTTGTGAATTTTTTCATAATTTTGGGGGATGAATTTCTGACACCATGATGGCCAAAATGCAAGCTGAAACTTTTTCCACTGAGGTAGTGCACCAGACTGGAGATGCTTCTGTTCTGGTTAACAGTCTTCCACCTTACATTGACCTTTTTTTTTTTTAATTCATAAGTTGGAAGTTTGAACTACTCAAGAAATAATTACTCGATTTTATCAGTTAAAGATCATACTCAGTAGTTACACATTTCTTTTTTGAGAGATTACTTACTGCCTTTTCTCCCCTGTTCTTGTGAAAGTGGCATCCACCATTTCCTGCATGGGATTCCTAGGGATTAAATAAATTGTTTTCTGGTGCGATCATAGGATTAATCTAAACAGCAGGTCTGCCCCATTCAGCCTTCCTTTGTGAAGCCTGGCATCTCCATGGAACAAATGGAAATGTTTCAGTAGGTTTCGGTGGAAGAGACGGCTCCCCCTCTGTCCTGTGCCAGAGCAGGTGTGGGCACTGGTAACCCCAAGGCTTCTTTTTCTGGCACTGATTGGATGATTGCTCCTTCCAGCTCAAAAGACTCCTTTCTTCACTTGAAAACAAAGAAGTTAATTAGGTCAGGTAACCTGGAACACAATGGGGGATTCTTTTGCCTGAAGCCTCTTGAACAGAGGACTTTTGTTAGAGTGATTCTAGCTGGTTTCCCTGCAGGGTTTATGGTAGGTCTGGGGGGAGGGGAGCATTCCTGGCAGATTTTCTAACTTTTTTTTTCCTCTTTCCCCAAAGTTGGATTTATTTTTTTGAACATAAAGGCGTGTGTTTCTGTAATGAAGCGTTTTACAAAACTGTTAGCGGTGATGAATTTGCCTTAAGAATTCAAAAGTATCCCTCCTTCCCCCAAAACCTTATTGCCACCCCTTGGGCACACTTTCTTCTTTGATCAGTTGATTAGACTGAGGCTGGGAGCTAGCAGGGGGCTCTGCAGGTCAGATGGAGCCGCTGGACACCCCTGGATGGCACACACTTTGCTGAGAGATTTGCAAAAGGTACATGCTTTAAACAAAGGTGTGATGGATCCGCTTAGTTTCAGGGCAGGAGGGTAACAGCATAAGTTATCAAGAGAGCAAACGTGACAGACTGAAGGTCACTTCAAAGGGTGGGTAGATAGAAGTGGAGTGTAGAACATCAGCACCCAGAGCTCAGAGTCGAGGAGGCTGCCCTGTGAACGGGGTAATGAAGATGCCAATTCGAAGATTGGATCCAAGGACATTGCTGGGGCTTCATACTGAGGATGCAGAATGGGCATGAGGAGCAAGAAATCTTTAGCAGGGTCCTTAGGTGTGACACATGTCAAGCACTCCAAGTTGTTGTCGTGGAAATACACCTTATGTTTATGTGTATACTTTGAGTCTGTGCTGGGGCCCAACTTTAGGATATTTGTTTGAAGTCGGTGTTTTTGTTTTCTCCCTGTGAGCAGTGGAATGCGTGAGTTTCAGCCATCATGCCCATGTTCCTATTTTTGTTTTCAGTTATGTTCTTTTATTTTCTCCATAGTGTCCCAAAGTTTACTCAAGACTACCCAGGAACCTCTTCCCCAAGATGCTGTTAAACGTATGTTGTGACAGACTCCACGGAGGGGTGGGGGATGGACTCTAATGCATGGCTGGGTGGTAACCCCAGTATCTGCACCTTCTTTGCATGGTTTTGCTTCTTGAACTCTTGTCTTCTATGAAGTATTTATTTTCATGCCTGACTTGTAGTCACATTTTTTCAAACAACTTCAGAGCTTGGGCTAAGAGCACTGACTAAGCTGCTATTTCTGATCAATTTCCTTCTTATTTAGTGTAATTCTATTGAACATTGTACATGTCAGTTATTATTGGGTTGTATTTGGCATCACTATTTTATTTCCTAAAGTTGCCAAGATGCCACACTGTAACACAAGGCCATGTGTCTCGGTGAGTCTCCTGAAGTAAAGTCTTTAATGTGCACATAGTGTACTGGTTACACGAGCATTTATAGTCAGTGAAGTGTGTTGTGAGACAGCTGCTAAGCTTTAGGAAGTAAAAGATCACTTTCAGATGTCAGGGCCAAGTCTTTGTCCCTGGGACAAAGGTACCCAACTTCTGATTTTATCATTAGGTTATAGAGAAAACTTCCCATAAAGAAATACTCTGTCAACTAACCTTACACCGGTCTGCAATGATTTCAATTGGCCTATTAGTCTGGCTTGGTTCAAAAATGTGATACCAAATGAAAAATAGTAATCAAACATAAATAAAATCTTGTCAATTAATTGATGTAAGAACCAAAAAGATCAGGAGAGTCATGAAGTTTTTTCAAATGAAATTCCCCCCCCCCCCAGCAAAAAATATTTTAAAAAATAAGGAAGAAAAATAAAAAGTTACATCAGATACATAGAAACGCATTTTAAAATTTGGATTGTATCCAAAAAATAGATTTTTCCAGTGTTGGGTGAAGGATGACATGTGCCAGTGATTCTTGTGATTGTTGGAAGAGACAAAATTTCAGTTGTGACTTAGATGTACAGAAAATTAGCATTTGTCTGCATTATTCCAAAAAAAAAATTAGTTTCAAAATTGATGAGCCAATTATTTTTTATTTAAAAGATGAATTATAGTTGGAGAATAATGTGATTTATGAAAGATTTCACCATAAACCATAAAATTTTTTTAAGCGCCCCCATAAGATTTAGATTCATTCAAGTTGCATGTAACTTTTGAAGGATGTGGTTTTTACATATTTCCTATGATTGTTAGAAAGCTTGCTAAGAACATCGATTATGAGGCATGCGAGTAAGCACTAGGTTTTACAGGATTAATAAGACATTGCTCTGCATTATACATTGGCTTTCCCTAGATACTTTCAGAGATCATTTATTTTTCCAAGGAACACTTTGTGGGCATTTTCCTCATTTCCTTTGTACATCAGAAACGACGAAACCTAAAGAGCTTAGTGACTTGCCCTAAGACATCAAACATGGCAGAACCAGGATTGAAGCCTAAATGATAATGTGACTATGCTCCACACTCCAAATGGCCAAGTTCTGGTATTGTTTTACCGGTTAGAAAAATAGTATTTGAAGTTCAGAAACACATTACAAAAGTGCAGGAAATAGTGGAAAGCAGATAAAGAATCTTAAAAACATTTTTTCTGAATGCCGTGAATATAGCATGTATCAGTAAATCAAAAGTCTTTCCCACCCTTATATAAAACAATAAGTACGTTTAATTTGTTTCATTGTATATCATATTAGCTTATAAAATTGTATTTTTTTATTTTAATGAATTAATGGAAATGAATATCATGATGACATAAATTTATAGTCATAAAGTATTTGCATCATTGACCCTTCCAAACAGATACTGAACCTCTCAGAATTTTCTCTTTCCCAGTAATTTTCTTCATCTGCTTTGAGGGTGTTTGGAATCCTAACACCTTTCCATTCTAGCGGGGAGTGAAGTGATTTGGGCAGCTATATTTTCTTGTCTACCCACAGAGACAATTCAATCACAGCAAGTGAAGGGTTTCGCAGTGTTAGTACAAACAGACTGGGAGAAAGCATATAATTTCTAGTTATTTATAGCCTGTGAAGCTATGCTGTCTTATTTATAGCAAAGCTGCACATTTGGGTTGAAAAAGCCATGGTCATCTGGAGGTCAGATGCAGATATCAGGATGCAGTCAGAAGAAATGAGCCAAACCAGAAGGTGAGCCACCCTTCTGATTTGGCAGCTTGGACTCGACCTTGGCTTCTTTGCCAGACTGTGGCTCACTGGATGCTAGCTCTGTTCGCAAAAGCGGTTGCTTATGCAGAGTTCTGTCTTGCTTCTAGCCAAATAATAAATGTGAAATGAGATAGAAAAAGCTCTTCAATTAGGCTGATAAAATAATATTACACATCTGGAGAAAGTCTGTGATGGTCAGCAGTATAAAGACAATAATTATGCTGTCAAGACTCCTTATTTTAATGAGGCATTTCTGGATTTTAAATCTTTGTCATAAAAAACAATTTTGAGTGCTGTAATTTTGTTTTGGTACTATCACAGAGAAGACTCTAAACCACAGGAAGATTTGGATGGGAAGCCAAGAGCTTTCATTTTACTCATAAACCTATGGCTCCTTTAAAGAAAAATCCTTTCCCTTTGGGATAAAGACTCTTCTGAGCCCTGGGTTGTTTCTAACATTAATTAGTGTCTGCCCATTTGCGTTTAGGACAATGCAATAGTTTGCCATTGAGTCTGCCCTGTGCGGTATTTGTGAGCAGTAAAATATACACAAATATGCAATGATTAGTTTTAGTTTCACATATGAAAACATCATTGAGTTTTTTCTAGTGGGGTCCCCCTCAGATTGCATCTCAAAAGGTAAACAGACCTACTCCTTAGTGACATTTGATCTCTCAGTCATCTGACTGCACCAAAGAGAGTAGCCAGTGAACCATCTTTAGCTTCTTTTCTTGCTGGGAGTTTAGTATTTAAACCAAGTGTCTTAGCCTCAATACTATTGACATATTGGACTGGCTAATTTATGGCTATGGGACTGTCCTTTGCCTGGTAGAGGCAGCAGTCCCGCCTCTACGCACAGAAAGCCAGACACACTACCCTAGCTGAGATAGCTAAAAATGTGTCTAGATTTTGCCAGATGTGGTCCCTGGGGACAAAATCACCCACCTATGAAAACCTCTGATCTAGACATCTGATTCAGACCTCTAGCTACATGTAAAGAGATAGATTTTCCATACACTTGAGGGTATGCCTTAGTGTTAGAATGTTAGAGTCTCCAATTTCAATAGATGTTTATGAACTTAAATTTGTTAGGCCAGTCTCCTAGTTCTCAATATTTTCATGTTAAGAGAGAAGTTTCTGTTCAGATTTTAGTATGAGTTAGACTTTAAGCAGAGAATAAACCAGCAAACGCCTAGTTTGAAAAGGCATAATTCACCCAGGCACGACCATCTGTAGAGACACTACGTAGCCTTGTTACACAACTGACTTGGCACCTAGGATGTGACTTGAGAGCCCGTTATGTCCACGAGTCCCTGCAGAGGTATAGGTCTGGCCTCATGAGGGTGGAGAGAAGGTAAAGGCTGATTTCCACTCACTCAGTGGCCCGATTAGACATTGCAGAATAGATAACTACATGTGCCAAGACTATATCAATTTGAAACAAAAGACCATTCCCGACATCCGAGGTTGCTACAGAAGCTCACAGTTTGCAAACTACATAATTCAGGATGCAGCCTTTGAATGGAATGTGCCAGTTTAGCCCCAGAGTTCTCAGAGCCTGTCCTAACACCAAGACCATCTAATCTTTGGTCAGACTTGAACCATTGTTGGCAGCAACTCTGTACTTGTTCTCCCAATGGTGAAATAGCAACTGTTACTTCCCCTTAGCACACTTTCTACTACTAGCACAACTATGATATTTTTACAGACCTCCCAAGTGCTATTAAAAATAATTAAAAGCATTCAAAAATGTGGTGGGGCATTAAATTACATGTCACATCAGTGCCAGGAAAATCTATTAGATTGATAAGTATGAGAAAGCCATGTCTTTGGGATCCAAAAATGAACAGCACAAGGAGGACCGCATTTTCCTTCAAGCTATGCTAGCGAGAAACCCTAAGATTGAAAAGAATTGATTTGTTCTGCAAAACAGCATAAAGAAACCTCATTTGCTCCAAATAGTCACAGACCTTTATTGCATATACACTCTATTCCTTAGCTTACAGTAATTAGTTTAATAAAGCATCGGCAAAAATTTTCAGTGAAAGGCTAGACAGTCAATATTTTAGGTTTTGCTGGCCATATGTCTGCTATTATAAATACTTCCCTTGCTACTGGGATGTGAAAAGTGGTCATAGAGAGGAGGAAACAGACACATTATATTGTGTTGCAATATAATCAGGATTTACAAAGAGATACAGCAGTCTACCTCTTGGTTTGATAAAGCTGTTACTTTTCAGCCCAGGATGCCCAAGTGCTGAGTGAGGTGTTTTGAGGGACACCAGCAAAGTAAGCCAGGTGCCCTGCTTTTAATAAAATGAATTATATTAATACAATGAGACACAAGTATGTGATGCAATTAAATAACAATATAAAGTTAAATGGACAAGTGTAGGAAGAGACTGCTGTGGAAGCCAAAATAAAACAAAGTGGGTTTTATTTGTAAGACCTCCATAGAGCTTAACCATCCCACCTGACTTTTGTTGCCACATTTTCTCAGTGGACAATATTGACGATTCTGACTTTTTGAACTCATCTGTTGAGTGTTGAGCAACAATGACAGTTCATTTCTTTATGATCTGTCATTCATGAAGTTGACAGTAGCTTCTGACAAATTGACAAGAAAACCATCACCGAGGGTAAGCCCTTCTAGATGCCAGTTATTCTCACTGTTGCTTTATGTCCATTTTTTAGATTGTGGCTCAAGGTCACTTTTAAATTTGGGTGCCTCCTGCTAAATAAGTAGGCTGTAGATGTTAATAAAAATAAAAAAAAATAACACCAGCATTCATTCTTTCAGGCTCATTTCACTTATTTGACCAAAATCCCATGCCAGTATGGTGTGTCCATAAGACATAAAAAA